TTAATCTTGCATATGTGTGAGTTCTGTACAGTTAATCTTTCATATCTGTGAACTCTGTGTTCATAAATTCAACCAATTAATTCATAGATTAAAAATGTAAATTAGCCTATAGTGGCTGCGCTTGTACTGTATTTGGGAGGGCGTTACTGGGAATTGAATAGTCAGAACCTTTCACTGAGATATAGCTCCATCCTTATTTATCTATATTTTATCTTATTTCGAGACAAGTTTTCCCTGAGTAACTAAGTTGCCCTGGCTAGGCTCAAACTTGAGATAGTCTTAGCCCAGCTTTCCAGAGTTCTGGAATTATGGGCATGTGAGGCAATAAATCTGGTACTAATTCTGGTTGTTTGAATTGATATTTGATCTTGATCAAGATGATTAGCATCTTCTGGCCTCATTTTTCTCAAATGAAAGAGAGGGTATTTGAATGAACTTGATTATAGCTAATCATTTTTTTTTTTTTTGATACTGTGGATTGAACTCGGGTCTTTGCGCTTCCAAGGCAGGCCACCAAACTGCTGAGCTAAATCCCCAGCCCTATTATAACTAATCTTATATTGTTTTATAATCTGATTTTAAAACTTAAGACTCAAATGCTCTCTGGCTTTAATTAAGCAGAAAAGTGTGTTGTTGTTGTTTTGTTCTGTTTTGTTTTGTTTTTGGTACCGGGGATGGAACTTGGGTCCTTGCGCTTGTGAGGCAGGTGGGGGAACCACTGAGCTAAATCCCTGGCCCAAGCGGAAAAAATTTTAACACAAAAAAGTAAATCAAACTCATTTCCTTAAGAATTATATAAATAACTTCTAAAATTGTTACATAGATTTAATGCAATCCCAATCAAAACACCAATAGCATTCTTCACAAATGTAGAGAAAATCTCAAAATTCATATGGAACCAGAGGAGACCTAAAATTACAAAAACAATTCTGGGCAACAAATTCAAATCGGGGCGGGGGGCATCACAGCTAATTTTAATGGACAATGTGAAATAGGAAGAAAAGGGCTAAAGGTGTAGGGAAAGTGGGAAGGGTAGGGTTTGAAAGGTAATAAGGGAAAGAAAAAATAGGAGAAAAATGAAAAAGTGGAAATAAAATGTTTGTAAATGGGAAGGGGAGGAGGGGGTGAAGGGAGGGCAGGGACAAGGGGAAAAATGAGAACCAAGACCTGTCATGTAAAGGTACAAGATCCCAATGATGAATGTAAGTGTACTGTATACCTAAAATGTACCAATAAACTCAATGAGAAAAAAATAATTATATAAATAACAAGTTTCTAAAGTGCATTTAAAGAAGCAGGTTTAGAAAAGTAAAATCAATGTAGAAATTTAAGAATCTAGAGGTGATTCTAAAAAGAACTCCAAATAAATGCAAAATAATTTTCTTAAAAGAGTTTAAATTTGATCCTGGATACTAAAAAAATGTACTTCAAAAAGTAACTAGCAGAACAATTTAAACCTCAGCTTTTTATCATCTGGATAATTTATTAACCAAGAATAAATGTCTGTGAATTATTTTTCCCTTCAGGGAAAACTACAGAGGCTAAGAGTAGTAAGTTCTGAAGGTTTTAGGGGTCTATAACTCAAGTTATTGGTTGTTAGAATTCTATTTCCTTAACCTGAAATCTGACATCACAATTAATATTTATGACTTATTATTAGTTTCTGAATTATGGTCTTTAATTTTTACACAACTCTTCTTATTTATAAATATTTCACATGTAAATGTATACTTACATCTTTCCTTAACTCTCCCTCATTTCCAATTCTGACTTTTCAGTTTATAATTGTCAAGGGTTCTGTAAACAGGAAGTTACTTTTCAGGCAGCATTCTCCAGAAGTTCTGAATTTATGGTTATTCACAGAAAATATTTTTCTTTATATTTTCTTTTAATAAACATTGTTCAGTTGTGACTCCAAACTAAGGCACTGAACAAAATATTTTAAAGACACTACTGTATTCAAGGTATATTGATAGACATAGGAAACAGAAACATTTGCAAGAAACATTCTGGATTTTTAAAAAGGGGTTTTTGTTGTTTAATGTAGGGAGAAAGTCATACGAAAATTAATTGTCATAGAAATAAAAATACTGTAGGCTTGAAATTGACACATGAGCAAAGTGTTAAGGGAGTAGGCAGGAGCAAATAATTCTTTCCCAAGAAGTCAAGTAAGCTTCACAAAGGATATGTCCCTTGTGTGATTAAAGATTATAAGAAGTGGATACATTCATAAGAGAGGAAACAACACAGGCAGAAGAAAGTAGTTATTAAAGGGCATGCATTAGAGGGAAAGAATGAGAAAAGAAATTTGTTCAGTAGGTAAATATTTACAACAAATTTATGGAGGACTAAATTCCTAACTATATGAAGACCTTTTACAATTCAGTGAGAAGTAATGAACAATTGAACATGCATTATTATAAAATAATTTTCAGATAACTACTGTGTTTACACCATAACCATAGTAACAACAAAACAACAACAAAGTATTCTCTGCCTTCTGGGAGCTTGCAGTCTAGTGGTAGATGTATACAAGTAAATAAATTAATTATAATTTAGTGTGATAAAGATATAATCAGAATATATAGGACAAGCTCCAAATGTATACTTGGCAAGCTAAGGAAAGCTTTGTAAAGAAGTTATTTCCAAAATTTAAAGTAAGAAATATGAGTAGATAATAATCAGACACAGGTAGAAAGGGACTAGAGGAAGAAGACATAGATGAGTAGGAAGCTAAACATTGTGAACAATATGAATGATACCCTAGAACTTAGAGATCACATAGTATATCTTGGGAAAATTAAGACATTTCAGGCCAGACATAGTGGCACATGCCTATAATCCCAGCAATTTGGGAAGCTGAAGCAGGAGGATCAAAAGTTAAAGCTCAGCCTAGGCAATTTAGCAACTTATCAAGATCCTGAATCAATCAATCAATCAATCAATAAAAGCGTCAGTGATATTGTTTAGTGCAAAGGCCTGGGTTGAATCCCCAGTAGCAAATGAAGCAAAACAATTGAAAAAAATAAAAGACAGTAGAACAAAGTACAGGTTGTAAGGAGCTAAGTCACACCCTGTAATTTTTTTTTGAAACAAAATCTTACTATGTATTTGAGGCTGCCTTTGAACTAGTAGTCCAGATTGACCTCAGCTTCCCATGTAATGGAATTTAAAGGTGTGTGCCACCACACTCAGAAAACCATGTCACTCTTTTTCTCTACTTTTTTTTTCTTTTTTGATACCAGGGAATCAAACTCATGACCTTGTGTTTGCCAGGCAGGCGGGGCACCACTGAGCTACATCCCCAGCCCTCTCCACTTTATTATTGGTACATATTTGCCATACATAATGATCATATCCTTCTACTTTCCAATAAGATCCTTTGTACTACTTCTGTTTCTTTCTTCTCATATCAGAATTGAAGGCTTCAAAATTTTGTTTGAATCCCCACATTCCAAAAACCTAAATCTTTATTGATCTTTTGATAGTTAACTCTGTAAAATTATTGTGGAATTCTTTTCTACCATTAGCAGTGATATAGATGTTACATTTAGTATATATTAGCTGTAAGTCAACACCTGGGTTGCCTAGCTGTTTACATCATAATTGATGGTTTCATCTCTAGGAATAAGTGTGACACATAACTGGTTCTTACAATATGTTAATATCTAATTTATCTGTAGCTGTTTCACCTGATATTAACAGTGTTACATAATTGTTGCTATTTATCCATAAGTCAATATTCAGATTCCTTTTGGGATATTAACAATACCAGGGCACATTTCCAGAGAACTTGGTTTTTAAACTAGATACAACACATCCTCCTTTCCAAAAATAATCAAGTTGGTCAAATCTTGCAGCTGTAGCAAAGAATTATAGTTAGCCACACCCAAAGTATAACACTAAAAAGCAACCAAGAGAGCTGTATATTAGCAATGAAATCTTTGACTATAAACTTCCACAAACCTCAGTGTAAAACAAACAAAGCAAAGAACAAGAACAATAGAAACATGGAAAGCAATACTAACAGAATGCCTTCCCAAACCCTCAACTTCCCTGAGGCCAATCCAAGGAAAATCAAGGAGTAGAATAGTATAAGGCACACAGGTGAATTACTTGAACTCATAGCAGAGGAAGATAAAAAACAACTCAAAGATATACTCAGCAGGATTAAAGAAGATATAACTAAACATATAATGGAAATAATAACTAAAATGTTGCAGATACTGTCAGTAGACACTAAAAGAAATCTAGATGAGCTAAACAAAATCATACAAAACATGAATGACCAAGCCACTAAAGAATTAGAGTCTATGAAAAGGTTTCAATCAGAAATCCAGGACATTAAAAATCATATTGAAAGTATGGGCAGCAGGCCAGGCCATTGTGAATACAGAATTTCAGAACCGGAAGACTACAATGGCTTCAAAGACCAACTACGCAAAAACACATTTAAAAAAGCAAGAGAGTCAGCTGAGCCGGAGAGGAGGCCACAGGGCAAACAGAGCGGCTGGAGCGTCCCGGCCCGGCCCCTATCGTTTCCCAGGATGCGCCACCGCCCGCGTCCCGGGCTCCCCGTCCTCCGAATCTGCCCTCGGGATGCCCTTGGAGCTGATCCAGAGCCGGGTGCAGAAGATCTGGGTGCCCGTCGACCACCGGCCCTCCCTGCCCAGATCGTGTGGGCCGAAGCTGACCAACTCTCCTTCGGTGATTGTCATGGTGGGCCTCCCTTCCCCCGGGGTAAGACTCACATCTCTAAGAAGCTGACTCGCTACCTCAACTGGATTGGTGTCCCAACGAAAGTGTTCAATGTGGGAGAGTATCGCCGCAAGGCTGTGAAACAATACAGCTCCTATAACTTCTTCCGCCCTGACAATGAAGAAGCCATGAAAGTCCAAAAGCAGTGTGCCTTAGCCGCCTTGAGAGATGTCAAGAATTACCCGACAAAGGAAGGGGGACAAATTGCAGTTTATGATGCCACTGATACCACTAGAGAGAGGAGACACATGATCCTTCATTTTGCCAAAGAAAATGATTTCAAGGCATTTTTAATCGAGTCCGTGTGTGATGACCCTACAGTTGTAGCCTCCAACATCATGGAAGTGAAAATCTCCAGCCCGGATTACAAAGACTGCAACTCAGCAGAAGCCATGGACGACTTCATGAAGATAATCAGCTGCTATGAAGCCAGCTACCAGCTCCTCGACCCTGATAAAAGCGACAGGGACTTGTCGCTAATCAAAATGATGGATGTTGGCCGGAGGTTCCTGGTGAACAGAGTCCAGGACCACATCCAGAGCCGAATTTTGTACTATCTGATGAACATCCACGTACAGCCAGCCACGCACCATCTACCTTTGTCGGCATGGCGAGAACAAATACAACCTGCACGGCCAGACCGGGGCTGGCTCAGGCCTGTCTTGCAGAGGCAAGAAGTTTGCCAGCGCCCTGAGCAAGTTTGTGGGGGAGCAGAACCTGAAGGACCTCCGGGTGTGGACCAGACAGCTGAAGAGCACCATCCAGATGGCGGAAGCACTGAAGCTCACCTACGAGCAGTGGAAGGCTCTCAATGAGACTGATGCCGGTGTCTGCGAGGAGCTGACCTATGAGGAGATCAGAGACACATACCCGGAGGAGTATGTGCTGCGCGAGCAGGACAAGTACTACTACCGCTACTCAACGGGTGAGTCCTATCAGGACCTGGTCCTGCGTTTGGAGCCGGTGATCATGGAGCTGGAGCGCCAGGAAAACGTACTGGTCATCTGCCACCAGGCTGTCCTGCGCTGCCTGCTCGCCTACTTCCTGGATAAGAGTACAGAGGAGATGCTCTACCTGAGATGCCCCCTTCACACTGTTCTGAAACTGACACCTGTTGCTTACGGTTGCCGTGTGGAGTCCATCTACCTGAACGTGGAGTCCGTGAGCACACACCGGGAGAAGACAGAGGATGCAAAGAAGGGACCTAACCCACTCATGAGAAGCAATAGTTTCACCCCACTAGCCAGCCCCGAGCCCACCAAAAAGCCTTTCATCAACAGCTTTGAGGAGCATGTGGCTTCCACTTCTGCCCTGCCCGGCTGCCTGCCCCCGGAGGGGCCCACGCAGCTGCCTGGACAAAACACGAAGGACTCCTACAGCAGTGCCGACTCCTCCAAGAAACAATGAATGAAACAAGCACATCTCGTCCATTCCGCTTCCATTTCTGCAGCTTAGCTTGTGGGCTCCCATCTGCCCAAGGCCTAAGTCATCCCGAGGACTTCATCTGCACCAGAGCAAGTGGAGGAGATGGAGCATCTGCTGGTCGAAGAGCAGCTGCACCCTGTACAATGAGAATGGCTGAGACGCCCGAAAGCCATGTGAATCGCTAAATCCTGTGGCAGTGAGCTCCCAGTCTCTCCACCTTCTGCTCTCCTGGGTCTGCAGGGCTGGTTAGCCTCCCAGACCCCCAACAAGGTTCTTTGAGGATAAGGAATAGTAGAGGAGCTGAGAGAGGCCCTGAGAGGGACGCTGGGCCCTGTTGCGTTTTGTTTTTTTTACCGTGATTCTGCCCTGGTACGATCCTAGCTGGGGAGACAGGACTGTCAAAGGATCTTGAAACTAGAGGAAGATTAGATCCTAATTGCTGAAGGCCCAGGGCTATTTGAAAACTTCCACATGGCTCTGTTGTGCATCTTAGCTGGGGAGATGCTGCCTAAGGGACTTGGGCATGGGCTGAGTTGGGGAATCATCTCCTGAGAAGTCCATGAGCTAAGACTTACCTGGCAGCAGTGACGTGCCCTGGCTCCCCTGCATGTCCTCCCATTTCCGGCACTGAATTCGAGCGTGGGATGGCTGCAGAGGCTGAAGGATGTGTTTTGCTGAAAGGGGATAACCGGGGGTTCCCTTTCCCAGGGAACTCTGAGCATCCTCTGTTCTCCTACCTGAACTCTGAGGTACCCGGAGTGAATTCCTCTCTTGGAGCTGCTTGCTTTTGCACTTTTTTGTGACAGAAGTGTGATCTAAAAGTTGCACCTTCTCTTCAGGAACTTACAATAGATGTCGGGGCTTGGGGCTTGGAGCCTCTGAATGTGAGGAGTGGGATATACCTACGAGATGAGGAAGCTTGGAGCATTTGACTCTGCAAGAACAAGTGTGAAACGACACAGGGAACCTTGGCCTCCTTCCTCTGGGATGCATTACCTACCACCCATGTTTCCCAGGTGGGGATGATGGCCCAAGCAAGGCTCATTTACAGATACCACCTGCGTGCTTTTGTTGAGTGCTGTCTACTTGGCATCGTACTAGGAACCTTGGGGAGTTTAGTGGAGTAGACTCTTATCTTTGCTTTGTCTTGATGGCATCCGACATGTTTGCAGACATTGAAAAGCCAGGCTTATGGGACATGTGATTCTCAACTCCCAGTTTCTGCCTGTCCACTTTTTCTCCCTCATTCCCTCAACTACCAGGGCACGAGAGGGTTTCTGTGCCCAGAGGAAACCACCTGGAAACTCAGCAGTATAGTTCATACAGATAACTTTTAAGGATGTCTCAAAGCTGGTACCAAAGGTTATTCTTTTTCTTCCTACCTTCCTGTAGGCCCTGAGATTGTGTTCTTTCCAGCTGAGAGGGCAGGTCCTGGAATGAGGGTCAGGGATGAATACTAGAGTAAAGGACCACTTTTATTAGCTCGAGAGGAACTATTAATCCATTACCCTAATTGAGATCCCCTTCTAATTGGCAGGGTACCAGAGAGAAGAGGGCTGTGTGCACATTCTTGGGCAGTTTAAGACTTAGGCTATTTCCTCTCTTTGCCACTGTCTTGGGTCTTTGCAGGCTGTGTGCAGGTTGCTAGTATTTTTTTGCCCTGAAGAGCCTGCAGCTTTGCTCCTAGAACTGTTTCTTGTCACTTTGTGGCCTCATCCTCTCTGTATTAATACAGACTCTCAGGTCTGATGCACAAAAGGGGTGGAGGAGGGTGTGGTCCCTTCTTACCTCTGCTGACACAGTCAATACAGACACAAAGAAGGCTTTGTCTAGCATGAGACTTCAGTTTGGTCAGGGTAGATGGGGAGAGAGCTCATAAATAGGGGTGAGGGAGGCCTTGGAGAGGTAGCACTGTGCTTCATTTGAGGCCTGCCTTTGAGAAGGAATGGGGGTGGGGTGGGGGCTGAGCTATATTCATGGAACTTTTGCTTCTACTGGTTTCCTCCGCTCCCCACCTTCAAAATGAAGTGAAACAAAACTGGGACCTGCTGGGATTTAGCTCAGTGGTTCCGCTACCTGCCTTGTAAGTGCAAGGTCTGGAGTTTGATCCCCGGTAACAAAACAACAAAACTGTGCTGGGGATTTAGCTCTGTGGTTCCACCACCTGCCTTGCAAGTGCAAGGTCCCAACTTTGATCCCCGGTACCAGAAAACAAAATAAAATTGGGACCAATTTTTTTTTTAACTTTGCATATTTGTTTTTGAGTGAATTTCCCTCTCTCCTTCCACCACAAACAAAGCTCTTCATTTTTGGGGGCAAAGTAAAACTGTTTGAACCACACCAATGATATTTTGTAATACTTGAAATTTATTTTTTTATTATTTTGATAGCAGATGTGCTATTTATTTATTTAATATGTATAAGGGAGCTTAAACATAGAAAGCTGTATAGATAGAGTTTAATTGTTAATTGGTTTTGGGGGTCTTTTTGTGTGACTTATGACTTCTTTGTGTTCTGTACATTTTGCTTGAACTCATGACCTGGGTTGAAGCTGTGTTGGCTTTCAAACAGGGAATGCCTTTGAGAAATTTGTATATTTTGCAATTGTCAGACCAATAAAAGACCTGGTTGAAATACAAAATAAATAAATAAATAAAAAGCAAGAGAATATAAAAAATAGATACAATAACTGCTCAATGATTCAAAGACTAATATAAGTATAACTGGAATAAGTGGGAAATCAGAAGACAACACAAATGGCATTAAAAAAAGCCTGTTCACAGAAACCATGCTAGAAAACTTCCCAAGTATAGGAAATGAAATATATAAACAGATAAGGGAGGCATATAGAACACCAAATAGCCATGAAGAAAAGAGAACCTCTCTGTGCTATTACACTCAAAATTCCCAGTGTTCTTCACAGGGACTGAATCTTAAAATCTGTTTGAGAAAGGCAATGAATCACATACAGAGGTAAACTCATTAGAATTACGGCAGACTTCTTTACACAAATCTTAAAGACCGGGAGTGAAGTGTTTTGAAACCCCGAAAATAAACTTCCAACCCCTACTTATGTATCCTGCAAAACTTTCATTTAAAATTGTTGGAGAAATAAAGTATTTCCATGACAAGGAGCACCACAAGAAATTTGTGACCACCAAACCAGCATTATGAAAACCTCTCAAGGATATCCTAGAAAGAGATAATGAAACCAACAGTATCAATAAAACAAAAAGAATGAATACACCTTATTAGTACAAGCAGCTAAACAAAAGGGAATGAAGAAGTCAGCAACAAGAAAAACAATGCAATGACAGGAGTAAATTAGTACTTCTCAATAATAAATCTGAATGTCTATAGTCTCAATTTCCCAGTCAAAAGATACAGATTGGCAAAATCAAGAAAGAAAAACTAACAATATGCAGCACACAAGAAACTTATTTAACTAAAAATGATACTCCCTCTAAAATCAGGAATATGATGAGGATGTTCAATATCACCACTTCTGTTTAATATAGTTCTAGAAATATTAGCCAGTGTAATAAGATACAAGATGTGGATAGGGAAGGAAGAAATTAAGCTATCATTATTTGCTAATGACATGATCTTCTACATAAAAGACCTCAAAAACTTCACAAAAGACTCCTAGAACTAATATGCACATTTGGAAATATATATGCAGATATCCAGTTTCCCTACCACCATTTGTTGAATAGGCTATCTTTTTTCCAACATGCGCTTTTGGACCCTTTGTCAACGATCAAATAGCTGAATGTGTCTGGGGATGTTTCTGTATCCTCTATTCTGTTCCATTGATCCCCATGTCTGTTTTTTTTTCTAGTACCATGTTGTTTTTTTCATTGTTTCTTTGTAGTATAGTTTAAAACCTGATATTTTGATGCCTCTTGCTTTGATCTTGTTTCTCAAGATTGCTTTTGTTGTTCTTGGTCTCATCTGGTTCAATATGAATTTTAAGATTATTTTTGCTAGATCTGTAAAGTATGCTATTGGTATTTTGATTGGAACAGCACCGAAACTGTATAGCAGCTCTCTGGGTATGTGTTCTTGTCCACTGTTTGGTGTTCAGAGTTCTGCTTAGGAGCTCAGACTGGGAGGGTAAGGCACAGAATCACCAGGCAGACTCCAGGGAGGTTTCTGGAATGCTTCCACTTTATTTAGGAAATGCATAGGCTTATAAAACTTATGTGTGGACAACTATGTGGGGAGCATGGGAGGAGCACTTAATTACATGGCACTTTCTTATAGGCTATGCAGATCCATACATTAGTGGAGAACATTGGGCGATATCTTATTGGCTAGACATTTGGTGGGGTGACTCTTCTTTGGGGAGATGAAGGACTTATGGACTAGGGGCGGAGGTGTAGCCTGTTAGACTCAGCATCTATGCACTTAGGCAAGTTAGTTCAGGCTCAGAGAGGTCTTCAAGTTTTCTCAGAAGAGAGGAGTGCAGCACATGTGGCCCAGCCAGGCTTGAACTTCTCCCACAGGTATGGCCAATTTGACAATATTGGTTCTGCTTATCCTGGCACAAGGGACATCTTTCCATTTTCTGATGTCCTCTTCAATTTTTGTTTTCAGAATGCTGTAGTTTTCTTTGTAGAGATATTTCACTTCCTTGATTAGATTAATTCTTAGGTATTTAATTTTTCTTGATGCTACCATAAATGATATTGCTTTCATAATTTCTTTCTCAGTGAGTCCATTATTGGTGTTTTTTAAAACATAACAACTCTGCTCTCTCCTTGGCAGAGAGAGGAAAACAGATTTCCAAAGGAGGGATGTTTTGTTATACATTGCTATCATGTTTTCTTTTTTAACAGTGGAACAAAGGATCCACCTTGGTAGTGCTGGAATGTCAGCTCAGGTTATCAGAATTCCTGTGTGTTAGGGAATATGATATTACAGGCTTAGAAAATACTCCAGAGAAAATTTGGTAACTGATAATTTAACGGATCTTAAAGAAGCGATGAAGCCTGCTCTTTTTTCCTTACTGAAAACAAAACAAAACAAGAAACAAAACAAAACC